CTCAGACTTTGACGGCAAACACTGAAATGCACATCTTTGGTTCGCAAGATCTCAACCTCGCCACCGATTGCAACAAGTTAATTATCTAATCGAGAGCTGAATGTTACCGACAAACTCCAACTCAAGGTAGGTTTGATACTATTCAAGGTAGCAGTTTTCCCCCTTCGCCATCTTCTATCCTGTTTTCCTGGACTTACTGTGCTGAGCTCATCCTACTTGCCCTTCTATGGGAAAAGCGCCCTAAAGTGCCCTTCCATGGGCAACGAAGTTCTGACAGCTGGAACACAGCATGCACTTTTCATTTTATCTCGGCATACGGGGGAAGTTGGAGTCAGTTGATAATATTCAGCCCTTGATTAGATAATTAACTTGTTGCAATCGTTTCCGAGGTTGAGACCTTGCGAACCAAATATGTGCATTTGAATGTTTGCCATCAAAATCGGGGCTCGAATTAACACTCGAACGCTAAGTTTTCAGTTTTATCCGTTTTGAGCATGGAGGTAGGGTCCTACGTCCATGGTTTTGAGCACTCTCTGTGAGCTTTTCACTAAACTGATTGCGCAACTTTTGGTCTCGTTCACTCGCTCTCAAATATTCCTCTTTTCTGCTTCTCGGAGTGGAATGCGACACTGTGTTCTATGGTAATTATTGCTCATCTGGATGAGTACTATCACCACTATTAATTTGTAAAAGTAATTTAGAATCATCCTATATATATATATGTATAGTCTAGTGTTGCGCATTTCTATTCTTGTTAAGCAGTTTCTAACAAAGGAGAAAATCGTCACTTTTCGTAACCACTTCCTTTCTCACCGGATTTGGCACTTACATATTACTTCATCTTCCCCGAAGTGAAGTATGAGTTCATTATTTTAATAGCATTGAAAAGATATAGAAAGCTGTTAAATGGAGACTTAAAAATTGCCTTCCCCACCGGAAAAAAAAAGGGGGGAGCTGTATGAAAGAATCTAGCTCTGCCTCTCAGTGGCAACAAAGATCTGAAGGCCGAACTATTCTATATTTTAAAACCGTCAAAATGCTGTGTATTAAGAAATAGTGGCAGCAAAGTAATTAAACAAAACTAATAGACAATTTAACATTGATATTAGTTTAAACATAATGGCAACTAAAAAAAAGTTCATCTGAAACAATAAACAGTTAAATTTCATATCAGTATTAGTAAAAACGTAATGATAACAAATATATCAAACTAAACCGAATGGCAATAATGACAACAAAGAACTTAATTAAACTAAGCCAGTTTATTTTCATATTAAGATTGGGAAATAAAAGAAAGATTAAGCTATTATTTGAAGAAAAATTATGTATCGAAAACTGAAAAGTCAGAATGTAGTTTTCTTTGATAATCAGTTCTGCACGAATAAAACATCTTTGTCATTTATTCGACTAAATTTAAGTGAATCCTTCCTTGTTGGGTGTGCCTTTTTGTGATACGAAGTTTGTTTACTTACTTTATTGCCATTACGTTTTTCACTAATATCGACCTGAATTTGTCTTTTAGTTTCAATCTGTTAGTTTCAATTTCTTTGCCATTACTTTTTCACTGATATCGATATGAAATTAAACAGGTATTTTTTTAAATGTCTTTATTGTCCTTATGCTTTTTATTATATCGATATAAAATTAAACAGTTTGCTTATTAATTTTAATTTATTTGTTGTAATTATGTTTCATATTAATATCAATATGAAATTAAATTGCTTTTTTGTTAGTCCAAAGGGGCAATTTGCCCAGAAGACTATTAATTTCGTTTTGGCATTTTGCGTTAATTCACTTTTTAAATTGTTGCCACCAAATATTATCGCCTTGTATTATATTTAAATAAATCAAATAATGAAGAATCTGCATAAATGTATGTATGTATGTCTCTCGCATTGTACAACAACGTTATCTAAAGCCATCCAGTTTTGAATAACGTATGTAGTTTCAACCCGAATATGGGCATCTGGAAGCCCAAATTCGAAATTTGGGGATTTGTTTTTAATTTCTTTGTTGTCACTGCGATTTCTTTTTATTAATATCTTTATGATATTATCAGTAAACATTATTATTAAAAAATTATGGTTGGCCTTCCTTTTTAAACATATCCATTAATTATTACAACTAAAAAAAATAGGATGCTTAATATTACACCATATATAAGTAATAAATATTTTTTTATTTGAATATTAGTTTATTTACTTTCGAGCATAACTGCATTTATAAGTTTTTTTTTTTTAATTTAATTAATTTATTTTTCCCTTGTTGTGTGTTTTAAAAACCTTGATTTAAGAGTTCTTGGCGAAAACAGAAATGGTGAAATAGAATATCTGATAGCGTCGTTATCTGAATATTTATTGTTCCTGGAATGGCAACTTGAGCTGTAGCAGCAGCTTGTTTTCCCTCTCGCAGACGACTCGTAGTTGAATGTTACGTGCTGCCAGATCAATTAATTCTTTTTGAAAAGCAGGTCAAATAGTTTTTCGCGGAACTAGGCCGATTTAATCAAAAGAAGCCATAAATTGCCACGATCGTTTGTTTGCGTGCGTTTCGTAAATTATAGGTGCCAAGCGATAAGTTTCAATTTTCGTTTAATTGAACAGGTATAATTTTTAATAATTTCTTTGGCTTCACAATTCGAATGGCGGAGTGGGGTAGGGGGTAATGACATTTAGCCTCAAATGGAAAATGTGTCATTGAAAACAAGGATGGGAATGTTAAATCTATCACCCTCGCCCCGAGGCGGGGGAAGGGAAGAAACATTTGTTGCAAGTAATTTACTCATAGAAAAAATTTTAAAAATATAAAACTTATAGTTTTTAAATATATTTTTTTAAATTTATATTTTAATTTATTCAGATTATATTTTTAATAACTAATAAATCTAATTTAAATTATAAACACAGCAATTAAAATTTTTAATTATCTATTTTTTTCAATTTATACTTTTAATTTATATAAATTTATATTTTTAAATAACTCAGTCTACTTAGATTATAAACACACCAAAATTTTAAAAATATAAAACCTGTATTTTTAAAATTATATTTTAAATTTACTTAAGTTTGTATTTTTTAAGTTAATTTAATGTATATTTTTAAATAAAAATTAATTTAGATTTTATAACAAGTTATAAGTATATTTCAATTCTCAAGTTAAATAAAAATAATATCAAAAGTTAAACTAATTATCGCTAAATTGTATAAAAACTCAACTCAAACAGAATTCCATCTTAAAAAGCTGTGACACATGTTTTCCCGGACGCAAAAAGGTATAAAAAGGGGGGGGGGAAAGACCTCGGTTCACAAAAATAATAAATACTTAAAAAAAAAAAAAAAACTTAAGAAGAATAAGAGAGAGACTTGAAAGAATTCAGATTTCATCGTTGCACCACAGGGTTTGTCTAGGTTTTTTATGCTTTCGCTCAGTTCGCATTTAATCTGCTCATGGACTCACTTCTGCTAACAGAATTTTCTTTCTCTTATTAACTTTGTTAATAAACATCACCTCGCACTGACGCCACATAAAAATCAACAGCAAAATCGCACTAATCTAATCATTTTTCCGGTGTAATGTCAAATATCTGTAACTTATTTTTATAACGTTTACAACGCTTGAATGCTTAGAACGCTAAAAAAATGTCTTGTCGAATGTTTGATTTTCGGATGATAACGTATGTCGCTTATATGCAATATTGTAATACATACGTATACTACGCTTATATGCAATATTAATATTAATACATACGTATACTACGCTATACGCTTATATGCAATATTGTAATATATCCACACTGTTAAGCAATTGCTAAGGACGGATGACAATAGCAACAGCAACCGCAAAATGGAAAACAGGAAAATGTGAAAGTTAGAGTAAGACGGGATACAGTAAGACGTGTTGTGCGTAATTCAAGTTTGGGATTGTCAAAGTTGTTCGTCGCCACATGTTTCAATTTTGGCAAGTTCATTTTAAATTAGAAAAAACTTTCAGTAATAATTTTAGTTTGTATTTTTTCCATTTTTCTTGCTTTGGGGAGGAGCAGAATTTTCGGGTGAACCGTTAAGATTAAGAAATATATTGGGATGGTTCATCAGCTAATTCTGGATTTAGAAAAGCAAGAATTTTCTTATGGGAGAGGAATTGTAATGAATTCCGATATATCCTCCTCCTGCCGACGCTATGTCGGAGTTGATTGGATTCCTCTTCTTTCATGTTTCAGAGCCCACCAGCGGCCGAGCGGTAAAGTCGCTGAACACTGGTAGTTCGGGCCGAGGTTCGAATCCCGCGAACGGGCTGGCTGCATGGGCGTTTTCGTGGTTTTCCCCCCAGTTTCCTTTAGAAATTCCTCCACGAAGACGTTCCTCCCCTTAGGCAGATAGCCCTCGTGTGCTTTGCCATAATTAAATACACCAACTTCTTTCATGTTCTTTTTTAATTTATTTATTTTTGGTTTTTCTTGTGATAGTTTATTTTAATTCTTTTAACATTTACAGAATTCTTATTCTGCTTTTATAGGATTTTTTGGAATTTATTTATTTGAATTTCATTTTTTGTTCTTTGTTACATTATGTAACATTAAAAAAAAAATCGATAACTCAAAATTATAACTTAACAATCGCCGCATAATTCCTCATTTTAATATTGGCATCTCCCCTTTTTAAATTCCTAAATTGTTTATAATAATTCCTATTGTTTAATAAATTGTTTATAGTAAATTTTTCTGGATTGTGTCTTCCCAAATTAATCCGTTTCATGCTTGCTTAAAAATTTCTGCAATGCGGATACCTCTTATCCACTCAGATTAAAGAAACTTTCGTATATAAATTTGAGGCTACTGTTTTGTTTACTTCAACTTGCTGCTAACCACGTATAATTTGTTTCGTCCTTTGTCTAAAAAGATGTAAGCTGTACAGAATTGTAGGTTTCATATATCACCCATAAAGGTGATGTTCAAAAATGGATTCCTTTGAGTTAGTTGTCATCGAATAAAACTATGTATGTTGAATTTACAATCATTATTTATTTATGTGATGAAAGTTTACATTTCAAGTAGGGATTATAAGAAATTGGGTTTAAAAAGAAGTATTTCCGGCGTTCTGAATCCCAGAAAGAATGTAGGTTATAATCCAAAGTTACCAGATTTCCTTCTTTTTTTTTCCCGTTATTGATTCAGTCACTGCACATAATTATCTGCATATTTCGGGGACTTATATCAACGCTCACAGTTTGGAACTTGGCACCATTTTCCTTTTTGTGTGTGTATTGCTGTCTCTTCCAGGATGACATTCCAAAATGTATTCTGTAACGATAATATGACATTAAACATTAAAAAATCTTACCCTTTGACACATTATTCTTCATACGACATGGAAACTAATAAAATATTTTATATTGGGGATTTTTCAAACTTCTTAAATTTTGTACCACATAAATAAGAATTGAAAATATGTATACAATCATGTATCAAAAGGAGCGCCATTTTACATTTAAACCTTTCGTGTAAAAATTGTACCACCCGAAATAATGCAATGTATCAATAGTGGTACATGTACCATATTTTCGTGAGATGCAGAAGTCGCGCAAATCAGACACTGAAAAATTGTGGAAAGTGCGTTAGTGCTGGCAGTATAATGAAACGATATATAGCGAGGGTCGTAGTGCAACGAAGCGCAAAATAACATTAAGTAATAACATAACGTAAAGTAACGCGTACATTAGTATAACGTAACGTAAAATAACGTATATAATACACTGAAGTGACAAAAGTCATGGGATGCCTCCTAATATTTTGTCGGTCCTCCTTTTGCCCGGCGAAGTGCAGCAACTCGACGTGGCATGGACTCAACAAGTCGTTGGAAGTCCCCTGCAGGAATATTGAGCCATGCTGCCTCTATAGACGTCTATAATTGTGAAAGTGTTGGCAGTGCAGGGTTTTGGGAACGAACTGACCTCTCGATGATGTCCCATAAATGTTCGATGGGATTCATGTCGGGCGATCTAGGTGGCCAGATCATTTGCTGGAATTGTCCAGAATATTCTTCTAACCAATCGCGAACAATTGTGACCCGGTAACATGGCGCATTGTCATCCATAAAAATCCCATCGTTGTTTGAGTACGTGAAGTCCATGAATGGCTGTAAGTGTTCTCCAAGTAGCTGAAGGTATCCATTTCCAGTCAATGATCGGTTCATTTGCACCAGAGGACCGAGTCCATGCCATGTAAAAACAGCCCAGACCATTATGGAACCACCACCAGCTTGAACAGGGCCTTGTTGACAACTTGAGTCCATGGCTTCGTGGGGTCTGCGCCACACTCGAACCCTACCATCAGCTCTTACCAACTGAAATCGCAACTCATCTGACCAAGCCATGGTTTTCCATTCGTTTAGGGACCAACCGATATGCTCACGAACCCACGAGAGTCGCTGCAGGCGATGTCGTGCTGTCAGTAAAGGCACTCGAGTCGGTCTTCTGCTGGCATAGCCCAAGGAAGACAAATTTCGCCGCACTGACCTATCGGACACGTCCCTCGTACGTCCCACATTGATTTCTGCGGTTATTTGACGCAGTGTTGCCTGTCTGTGAACATCGACAACTCTACGCAGACGTCGCTGGCCTCGGTTGTTAAGTGCAGGTGGTCGGCCACTGCGCTGTCCATTGTGGGATGTTATGCCTGAAATTAGATACTCTCGGCACACTCTTGACACTGTGGATCTCCCAAAGTTGAATTCCCTAACGATATCCGAAATGAAATGACCCATGCGTCTAGCTCCAACTACCATTCCGCGTTCAAAGTCTGTTAATTCTCTTCGTGCGGCCATAATCATGTCTAAGCTTCTTCACATGAATAACTTGAACACAAATGAAAGCCCTGCAAAAGCACTTCGCATTTATACATTTTCTACGCGATACTACTGCCATCTGTATATTTGCATATTGCTATCTCATGACTTTTGTCACTTCAGTGTATAATGTAACGTAAAACGTCAGTATTGGTGGTATAACATAGCGTAAAGTAACATGACTGTAATATGGCTTGAAGAAACGAATAATCTAATGTAACGAAGAGTAAACACGTATAATGTAAATTACATTAGTGCTGGTAGTATTACGTGTAATGTAAACTACGTTAATCTGGGTATTATAATGGATAAAAATATACTACATATCCTGGTATTATAATGTGTAAGAATAATGTAATGCAATGTAAAATAACACGAAACCCGACTAAAACCTGTAAAATAATATAAAGTATGATAACGGTACGTAACGTAAGAGTACGTGAAGTATAATGTAATGTAAATTATCACGTACATTGCGTATACATAATGGTATGTGTGCGCAACTGTACGGTAACTGTAAACGTAGATAATTGTATATATATGCAACTGCGTGTTGTATACGTACTGTATATGTAACTGTACACGTGTAAAGTGTTACGTTATACCTGGTGGAATAACGTAACATGAAATAACACGAAAGACGGAAAATTTGTTGCTAACATTTTAACATAAAAAAAGTTCTTTCTGTGGACCGTTGCCGTGAGTGAGTACACTGAACGCTTGACAACAGAAGCCGTTCCTCTCTTGACAAACAAAAAATAAATAAATAAATAAAAACAAATAAAAGTTATATATATTTTATTTAATTGGTATTTTTTTTAGTGAACCCTCCTTGGGTTTTGAGCAACAAACTCTTCAACTCATAAAGAACATGTTTATTCGCTACCACTATCGAAATTTGAAACTTAAAACGTCCGATTTCGTGACGCAACTCCTTGGGTAGCTTACGTCTTTTTTCCCCTTAATCATTCCGTGACGTAGATTTCCCTGTCGCTCCATCTGTTGAGAGTTCGTGTAACTAATCCGCACTCGCTAACAGGTGAAGGATGTTGTGTGATTTAAATGTCTGCGAGCAACTTTTTTTTGCCCACGTGTTTGGCAAGGAGAAGTGCGTGACTATTATCGTCTGTAATTCGTTTTGCAATAAAATCCCAGATCGGTGGCTTAATTCTGTTGGAAATATGTAGATCAAGGGTCGAAAATCCAGTTGGATAAAACGATCCAGATGTCAAGAGGGGTTGTTTAAAAAAAAAAAAAAAAAAGAAAGATTTTATGTGGTGAATCTTTTTAATATTCAGTGGAACTTCTCAGACTTCCGAAGCTCCAGGTATTCGAACTTATAAAGGCCAAGTAAAAGAAAAACCTGTTGCTAATTTAATGTAGTTTAAAATGTTTTTTAATACGTGGTGTAACTTTATGTATTTTATACGCATTTTATGTACGAAAACTCCTATGAAATAAATTTGCAATTATATATAAAAATACGTTTAAATTAAATAATATTAACTCGTACTATTATTAAATAATGACGAATCTATGTAATATAAAGTGTAGTAGTGGTAGATTAACATATAACGAAACGTAAAGTAAGGAGTATAGTACTATAATATAACGTAAGGTACGTTAGTACTGGTAGTAAAACGAGTATAGTAGTCCAACGTAATGTAAAATAATGGAAATGGTAAAATAACGTAATGTTACGTATCGTATGTATAACGTAACATGTAAGTGTTAGTATAATGCACGTTAAGTTGTCCTTGTTTGGGAAAAGGCGACATCTAGAGCCATCAAATTCTGAATCTTGGCTTTTTTTTTTTTTTTTTTAAATTTGCCAAAGCGTTAAGTACCCCCCCCCCCCCAATTTAATCAACAAATCCATAAAAGAAATGTTTTACCACTGCCGGAAATAAAAAAATTTTATATGCCGTCGTGAAGTGCATAGAAGTGCACCGAATCGTAAATTTTGTCAAATCCTTCTCATAGAACTAAAAAAAGTATTAAAAAAATAAAAGGAAAAGATGATAGGAAGGAAAAGATGATCTAAAAGCAAAATTAATTTTTAATTTAGTAATTTTTTAATTTTAAATTTGAAAACTGCGTTTGTATTTGCGTTGAAATCCGCGAATTTTAAATGCAAATGACTTTTGCAGACGATACGAAAAAATAAGGATCGTGACTAACGAATAAAAGAAAAAGAGTTGTTCTTTGCCGGAATGGCTACACGGGAACGATATTCTAAAGATATGATATAGTAATATGATAATATTAATGGATTTAATATTTTAATGGAAATACATCAATAATTTTAACGGATTTTTAAAGGATTACCGCTAGGTTTTTGTAATTACGGCACATGTACCACTAATGGTACATTACATTGTTTTTGCTAGTATAATTTTTACATAAGATTTAAATGAATGTAAACACGATCGTAACACACACCAATTTAGCACGTCGTGTACATGTTGCTTTATAACACCTGCTGAGAAGGTTTGGAGAATTACAGGTTTTTTTTTAACTAACAGTAATCAGAGCCATCTGTAAGAGCTCGATCTATCCGCTGGAATTCCACCAAATTTAGTAGGACTAATCACTATTTGGGAAAAGAGACTGCTTGAAAAAAAAAAATAGTTCCGAAAATTGGGGAAAATGTGACGCTGTTCTAGTCTATATACAGTGTCTCAAAAAAGTGATGGGACACTTGTGCTTTACAAAAGGAAACTGTAGTAAAATAAATTTAAAAAACAGTAAAAATTTTTTGTGGGTGTGTTTCATACTTAAATTTAGTAACAATTATTACATAACATACATTTTCTCAAAATATTAAAATATTAATTTAATAAAAATGCAATTGTTTAGAACGGAGCAAAAATGGCACACATAAGTGATGGGACACTTAGTTTTCCATCAAAAATTTTACTTTTTAAAAGGTTTAATATTTGTTGGATTTCCTTTTCCTTTTAAAACATGATTTAATCTTCTGGGATGGATTCCACTAATTTTTTGTGATTTCTGGAGTGATTTTACCCCATTCTTCTTGAAGCACCGATTTTAATTGTTGTTTTGAAGAAATGGTGTGTGTTTTGCGAATTCTTGATTCCAATTCTTGCCAAATATTCTCTATGGGATTTAAGTCTGGAGATTGTGGTGGTGTTTTTATTATTTCAGGACAGTTATATAGCAGCCAGAGTCTAACGTTCAAAGCAGTGTGCTTAGGGTCATTGTCCTGGTAGAATTTAAAATTGTTATGAAAGTTCAATTTTCGTGCTGAAGATTTCAAATTTTGATTTAAAATGTCAATATACTTGTACTGATCCATTATACTGTCATTATACTGTCTACCAACTCCAGCTGACGTCAGACACCCCCATACCATAACTCCTCCTCCACCATGTTTTACTGTTGGCACAAAGTTCTGTTTGCGAAATTCTTTCCTGGGTTTTCTCCACACCAAGAT